AGATAGTGTGGTTGTCAGTACACCAAAAACATGCCAAAGCGCAAATGTATGTTTACCGACAATTCAAAAAAAGAGTTTCCCCGCTTTCAGAGCGGGTCGAGATAAATGTGAGGCACAGTGTGCAAAGCAGGCACATATGTCTCGGTGTCCAATGGAGGTGCAAGGGATCTGAAAAGCCACCTGGACACCGAAAGTAAAGATAGTCTATTAATATGTTTGTTCGTTTTTGGTACATTTTGAGTTATTTTTGCTGCACGAGAGGTATTTTTTGTTAATTAGCTCATTTGCTAATTTATTTTTTTCCATTAACCTACAGAACACACATTATTTATTTCGTTCATTACTGAGGCTGAGTATCATGTGTTATTGGGAGTTGAGCGTTATTGTTAACTTTTATTATTATTGCTGTTGACTTTTACTGAAAAGCATTTTTAATAAATCAACTGTAATTATCATGTTATTGTAGGATTACGTGGGCCTATGTTAAGTGAGTGCATGCCACAGACATCTCTATGCATGGGAACAGAGATCGCCCCCCGCTTCGAGGTGTCCTGGTTTTCCTAAATGAAAATATGGTCACCCTATGTAATGTGCAGCAGCTATTTGTGAAGATTTTCCCCTTGTGTTCGATTTCTTTTGTTGTTATCAACTGATAGACTAATGTATTCCTTTTATAGGTTCAAATTTGAAAAATAGCTGCTACAAATTCCATGATTGTTTTTGTTTTATAATTATTGTATTTTTTTATTTACTTTTTAAAAGATCTCTATTCTGCTATATCTTTTGCACTATGGACATTTGTTTGCGGAGTTGCAATACTCCTTTTTACACACTATCTCTTCGGTTTTATAGACTTAAGTTGTTGAGTTAGACAACTCACTAGTAAACGTTTGCATGCATCTTTATTTGCCAACAAAGTATGAGTTTGAAATTAGTAACCAGGCTTTGATTTCACCATTCTGTTCAAGTGCTGTTAAACCCGTCCTGGTGTGATAAGCACATCTCTAGCCTCTGAGCCTTTCATTTTCAGCATGTCAGGAAACTAGGAGAGGGTCTCTGAAACTGGCGTTTATAATAGTCAGGGACTGAGCAGAAACTAGCGGCATCAGCAGTGAGTATACAGGTTGAATAAACAGACTGAATCAGATAGTTTGCTTGATATATGCTGCAGAGTGTGAGAAAGATCATCGCGGATCATCGACATTTCTTGAATAGACTGCCTGAACTGACTTACAGGTATCATCCCATTTATTTTTAATCATTGATGGTATGGTGTCTTGCAAAAAAACATTCATTCAACATTCAAGATGGACCACTTATTTTAGATGATCCACCCGGAAAAAGAAGATCCTCTACTATACCTTTAAGTTTTTCACATTACAACCACGCACTTGGGTGGGAAAATCAAGCGCCATCATCTAATTAAGAAGCTGAAGTAAAATAATCCAAAAATTCTTTCTTCCCGTGGTAGTTTTTTCACCATTTGTTGAGGGTGAAGCATGCTGTACACCCTCAACAGGACAACAGTCAATAACAGGGTCATACAGAAACTCACAGGAGCGGAAAACATGCAAAGAAAGACGCACTTACTGCAATAAATAGAGATCAAATAACCTAACATGTAGATTTTCTCACAGTGGTAAAAATACGGAGTCCACTCAAAAAACGTATGCATGCTAAGGGATAACATCAAAACTTCATTATGAACAACTCCAGGCTAGGACTTGAAAGTCTTGCTGCAAGGCAACAGTGCTAACAGCTGTGCCACTATACAGCCCTAAAATGCAAAGATGTTAAAGAAGTTGCCCAGAGGCTCTTGCATAAAAGAGTATGCAGCCTTGACATTTAAAGTTTCGCAGTAGGTAGAAATTTTGAAAGTTGCGGTGGGAAAAACGCAGATGTATAAAACCGCTAAACCATAAAAGCAGATGTGTGACACTTGTTTCCGCACAAGTTTCCTTTATACCTCCCAATCTGCATGCAGAAAATCAAAAGCAGCAGGAAGAAATGTTTGTAGCATCAAGTACCAGCCTACAAATGAATATCTAGAATTGTCTAAATAGCCAGAAAGAACTCACAGTCTGTCAAAATAAACATGGTGACAATCCTGTCTGGCCATCACAGAGAGACTTTGTCAACACTCCTCAGGGGAGATTTATTCCAGCCGACCAACATGGTGAATGATCAGCTACTCACTGAAGAAACTAAACCAGCTGAAATAAAAGTCTGTTGTGTATGAAGTCCATTGCTTATCATTGCAGTGTCTAACAAATAATTATTTTAATAAAGATTTTAATGTGATTCTCCTGTTTCTTGTCATTTGATAAACAAGTGAAGTAGCCGTGATCGAAATAGAATAGAATCAAATAAAAAACAAAATGCTTTTTTTGTCCCACAATCGGGAAATTGTGGTTGCAGCTGCAAAAAGTGGTCACACAAAGGTGGACCTTAAAAAGTGTATAAAAATAACAAAATAAGTGACAGAATTAAGAAAATAAACTAATTACTCTACTGTACAGTGTTTATACAATATAAATACTGTGCATCTGGAAAGAATAAATAATCAATATGCTGCTGCTGACTTTTTTAATAGTATGGATATAGTACGAAAAAAATTGCAGCAATACCATAGATGTGCAAAAATGACAGCAGCATGTTATATAAGTGCCCAAGACAGAAACTGGGCAACAATCAGAATAAATGTAACAGCTTATTGAGGTTGTTGGGAACAGTGATGTTATAAAGTCTTACAGCTGCTGGGCGGAAGGATCTGTGATAACGCTCCCTGGTGCATTACGGTGCAACAGTATGTCACTGAAGAAGCTCTCCAGTTCAGCAACAGCTTCATCCATTTTAGTTAGGGCCCTCTTGTTTCCCACCTCCTGCATTGAGTCCAGGGGGCATCAAGTGTTTCTATAGAGATGTGTGCTGCCCAGTGTCAGAAAACTTGGTCTTAGTTTCAGACGATGGGTCTTGCAACAGAATAATGACCAAAAACACGAAGCTAGAAGCATCGAAAAAGAGATTAGAAGAAAAGATTGGACGATTCTGCAGTGGACTTCTATGAGCATTTTTCTAAGGAGCTGAGACATGCTGTCTGTGAAAGACACCCTTTAAACCTGTGACAACTAAGGCACTTAAATCATGAGAAGTGGACCAAAATACCTGCTAAGAGCGCTATTGCCACCTTACTGCTTTGGTTGACTTTTCTAACCTCTCTCATACCTTTATTTCTAAAAGACGACTGGGACCAGATTTTTTTTGTGTGTGTTAAGACTTCTGCAATAACACATAAAAGAACCAAATTGTTGTCCTGTGTGATTGGATCAGTAAGCCTGCCTCCTGCTCTTCTTCTGTGTCCGCTGTTGTCGTGCAGGACAGACTGCAGAATCTCCACTATTATCCCTGGTCCCAAGAATCCAAGGTCCACAGGAATTAATCATTTTAGACCAGTCACCCTAACCCTCTGTGGTTATGAAGTCCTTTGAGCGCCTTGTGCTTTCACACCTGAATTACATCACTGACCCCCTCCTGGACCCCCTACAGTTTGCCTATAGAGCCAACAGGTCTGCAGACGATGCTGTCAACTTGGCCCTTCACCACATTCTCCAGCACCTGGATTCTGCAGGTACCTACGCCAAGATCCTGTGTGTGGATTTCTGCTCTGCCTTCAATACAATCATCACAGCTCTGCTTCAGGAGAAGCTCTCCCAGAAGAGTGTGCCTGACTCCACCTGCAAATGGATTACAGACTTCCTGTCTGACAGGAAGAACCAGGTGAAGCTGGGAAAACACATCTCTGACTCCCAGCTCATCAGCACTGGTTCCCCCTAGGGCTGTCTTCTTTCTCCTCTGCTCTTCTCCCTGTACACCAACAGCTGCCCCTCCAGTCATCAGTCTGTCAAGCTTCGGATATTTGCAGATGACACCACTCTCATCGCCCTTATCTCTGATGGTGACAAGTCTGTCTACAGGTTGGAGGTTGACCATCTGGCAACCTGGTGCAGGGAGAACAACCTGGAGCTCAACGCTCTAAAAACAGTTGAGATGGCTGTGCACTTCAAGAAGAACTCAGCACCAACTATCCCTGTTGCTCTCTGTGACTCCGAAAGACTATGGAGTCTTTCTGCTTCCTGGTAACTTTAATCTCAGAGGATCTTAAGTGGGAGCTGAGCATCAACTCCCTCACAAAGAAAGCGCAGTAGAGGATGCACTTTCAGCGGCAGCTAAAAAAATTAAACCTGCCAAGTGATGGTGGACTTCTACTTCTCCATCACTGAGTCCATCCTTACCTCCTCCATCATCATCTGGGATGCTGGTGCCACCACTAGCAGAAGGCTGCGGTCCATCAGGACCAAAACCTAACGCCACAAGAACAGTTTTTCCCATCTGCTACTATTGTTGTGAGAGTTTACCAGAAGATTATGAATATATTAAATAACTAGAACTGAAAGTTATATAGGGAATTGCATGGGGAATACAGGGAACTACAAAAAAAGTACAAAAAAACTAAATTTTATTTTTATTTGCACTTTTTGTGACAAGACGTAGAGATATTAGGATTTATAAAAATTGAATTGCAAAGGAGCAGATTTGTAGTTCCAAAGACATACATATAGTAATAAACCTTATTGTTATGTCCAAAACAAACAGAATTAAATCTAGTCTTCGCACAAAGATGAAAATCCACACAGGGGTACAGTATCGACTTGTTGTCTGTTACTACAATGTTGCATTGGATTGTAACAGCAGCCACTTGAGTTCTGATGAAAAGAGGGTGAGTATAAATACCGGGACACTCATAGTGCTTCCACAAAGCTCTTCAAGAGGTCCTTCAACACATGGAGAGCTAAACTGTGTCCAGCTGAAAGGTCAAGTGCTGCAGAGAGTGCAGAATGGAAACTGTTTCCATCATCAACCTCTCTGTGTGTGTCTGGTCTATTTACACACCCCAGCACACACAGCTAGAGGCTTTCCAGCTATTTAATGGCTAAATAATAGAGAGCAAAACCTGCATTACTTTTCTTGTTTTTTGGAAGATGATCTGAAATAATAAGCCAACATCTATCTGCTGGGACTGACAGCGAATAGTAGATATTTTTGTACTTCAGTAACAAATTGATGGAAGTTTCCAAACACTTCTGTGGTGGTCCTCCAGGGCAAAATGGAATGAGATAAGATATAATAAAAAGACAAATGACAAAAAGAAAAAGAGGATGTTAAGATGCTTTTATAAAGAAGTTGGACTCTCAACCTCTGGAGGGCGATACATACAGATCTATTAGTGTATGAAATCTTTACAATACCTGTTCCTACCTTTGTTTCTGCACTATCTTCTTTTTTTCTAATACATTATAAGTTAGTCCCCCATACAGTACTTTATCACAATTCTATGGTTTACTTATATCACCTAAGTTAATACAAGTAACTTACCTTTCCAAAGAACCATCTTTTTTAAAGATTGTTTTTTCTTACCTGCAGTTGATAGCAGTTAGCATTCTCATAGTTCTTTTAACAAGAGAGCATCAAATGGGTCTGGAAAAATCTAAATTAGGTCTTTATATTGCACTTAAAAGCTTGCTTGCCCTAGCGACTTTACACGAGTGAATAAAGTAAATGTGATTGGTCGTTTATCAAGGGGGCGGGATTGTTGTGGCGGAAGGTTCGCAAGCATGTTCGGTTGTGGCATCTTGCTAACCAGTTAGCAATTTAGTGCTAGTAGGTCCCCAATGCGAAATTCCATTGGGACCAACTAGCACTAAATTGGTGACTTAGAAACGACACTGTCAAGGATCGCTGTGGACAATTCATTTTATTTGAATGGTTTTCTGTTAGTTAACATAGTATTTTAAAGGAATACCTTTGCTAAAGTATTCTTTAGTTCAGGGGTTTCAAACTGGTTCCAGAAAGGGCTGTGTGGCTGCAAGTTTTCTTTTCCAACCAAGCAATAGCACACCTGACTCCAGTCATTTCATCAAGTTGTCATGTTCACATTGGACTCACTTGATGAGATGACTGGAGTCTGGTGTGCTGTTGCTTGGTTGGAAAGAAAACTTGCAGCCACATGGCCCTTTCTGGAACGAGTTTAACACCCCTGCTTTAGCTGATATTTAAGTGTTGTCAATACAATACAATAACAAGTAATTTTATATTTATGTTTAAAAATTTGCTGTCTATTTATACATTTTTTTAAACAAAGACAAGCTGGGCTACCTTAAAGTCATAGGTAAGGGGCTGTTCCAACCGTTGCATTTCCGAATTCTCCTGAGTGGTGCCCGACTTTATACGAGTAAAAAAAGTGAATGTGATTGGTCGATTATCAAGGGGGCGGGATTGTTGTGGCGGAAGGTTCGCAAGCATGTTCGGTTGTG